CTCACACTGTGCCGCGGCACACTAGTGTGCCGCGGCACAGTGGTTGAAAAACACTGACTTAGACTACAAGAAATGCCAGGACTGAAAACTAGGCTAAGGAATTTTTAAAAAAGCACTCCTAGAAGGAGATAGTGACAAACCACTTCCCAATTGCTTTGGGAAAAATTTATGGAGGTGTCCATAAAAGTCACTAGGAATTTAAACATAATTTGAAGGCATCCTCATTTTTACTTCAACAGCAGGGCTGGGCTGATTTTTTAAAAATCCACATTTTGTCGGATGTCTTCTGCATTTCTTGTAAATGGGGAGGAAATCCTGGTGGTTCTTATATTAGGAGAAAACATCTTGTAGTATCCAAGGAATCATAAACAAGCTGCATTTTAACTAAACTTAAACTTGCCATTTAAGTGGTCTGCATGAAATACTGCTTTAATTTTATATATAGAATGTCATTTTTGATTTAAAGACATCTAAAATAACAAATAAGGAAAAAAATCTCAGCGTATGGCCCCTTAGAGCTGACAGCACTAGCCCATTTAAATAACAGATAAGTAATTATTTTTGTCCTTATTTGTTTGATAATTTTTTTTTTGCCGTTTTGCAATGATTTGCTAACCTTTTTGAAAGAAATAGTTAAGTGGTTTGTAATTAGTTAATTTATTTTAAATATAAACATTTCTAGATTTGGGGGAGGGAAACTCTATTGAAATATATTTGAATGACATTTTTGCTCAAAATATATTGGCAGGAGAGATAAAACATGTATTTTGCATTGCTTGTTTTGCAAAAATAGTTGCTTGATGTGGAATGGGGTAGTTTTCCTGTGCAAAGTATCAGCAAAACCAGACCTAGAAAATCAATAACAATTCTTGGATAATGAAGCTCTATAATTTAGCCCTTAATTAATCTGTTATTTAATCTCCTGTTGAATTTTAAGCACTAATTATCTTAGTTTAGAAAAATAGGAAAGAACCAGAGTTACTGATTAATTCTCTACATTTTTTTCAACATTAAGGGCTTTTCATGTGAGGATATTATCAACTTGAACAATAATGGGATATAAGGGCGAGCAGCTAATAACAATAATTGCATTTATATCTTCTTACAGATAGACAGATAGCAATGGAAGAAAATAGGTGCAGCTCAAGGTTGAAGTATTGTCCTTGGTGCTTTGCTGACAAGAGATTTCATTACTTGACTAGGCAATGTCATCAGTGCTAGAAGGGATTTTGGTTTATTCCCTATTTATATACAGTAGCTTGCCCTGCCGGTGTTGAGTGGAGGTGTGGGCTTCTTCTTGATTCGGATATTGTTTTCTGCTTGATTGTTTACCTGGTGTTAATTCTTGCTTATCTGGGTGTTGGCTTCTGGAGATGATTTGTTCTGGTCTTTTTTCTTTCCTTCTTAGCTTTAAAACAGAGTGCGTGTCGAACACAACATTTGGAAGTTCTCAGCTTTAGTTTTCATTTTTAGGTAAAAGCAGCAACTGGGGAACAGGTATCAGCAGAGGATCTTGGAGGTGCTGATCTTCACTGCAGGTAAAATAAGCACTTCTTTCCACCAATAGTTTGGATTGTAATAGTTTTTCGTCATGCTAGCTGTTATCCTGTTCGAAATGGTTGTGGAATCGTCTGCTACCACTCCCCTGGTGAAATGCTGTTAGTCCTTGGGTTATGACCAGTGATGGGATTCAACCGATGTAACAACCGGTTTGCTCCACGCATGCACATAGTGCGTTTGAAAACTTACCTTCTACTGCAGCTTTGGTGCAAAACAGCTGAGGCGTGGCAATCTGCTATGCTGTGCCTATCAGCTGGGCTTCAGAAAGGGCCCAGCTGATTGTCAGAGTGAACCGGTTCGCTTCCAGCTGATTGTCAGAGCTACCGGTTTGCCCAAACTGATAGAATCCCACCCCTGGTTATGACCCCTTGTTCCTTGAAGTTCAAAGTTATGACAGTATGGAACAAATGGGACTTACAATCGTAGTCCTCTGAGTTCTGGCTATTGCAGTTTTCCTGAGATCACGTAAACACAATTTCTGACATACTATAGCTTTGATTTTTAAATCTGCAGGAAATCTGGTGTAACCGATCACTATGCTTTGGATGATAATCATGCACTCCACTTGGCTAGAAAAGTGGTGAGAAGTTTGAATTACAAGAAGAAAGTTGATGTGAGTGTATATTTTTCTTTGATTAAGGATATATCAGAACTTACATAAAGATGCTATGCTGTATTATGTGTTTACTGGCGTAGTTCAGAGAGAAGTATGAATTTAAAGCTGTTTCACTTCCGGCATGATTCAGCTGATTCCTTAAAGGTAGTTAAAAGTTCATTGCAGAAAATGCAACTCCTGTGCACGTTCTTCTGCTCTTTTTTCCTTCCACCCCTTGAATGAACCATTTCTGTTTTCAACTCTGCCACTAATACAGTGCCATTATATTAGAGACCTGCTGCACTTTGAGAGATATTATAAGTATTTGCTACAAGATGGGTGGCATATAAATTTAATAAATTAATACATAAATCCCCCTAAAAGGTATTTTTTCCAGGGCTTGAATGATATCCTAAGAATATATGAGTTTGCATTAATGCAGGGGTGTCCAAACTTGGGAACTTTAAGACTTCTGCACTTCAACTTCAAGCTGGCTGGGGAATTCTGGGAGTTGAAGTCAACAACTCTTAAACGTTCCCAAGTTTGGACACGCCTACATTAAGGAGATGCCCATACCCAGCCCCCAAATCATATTGCATGCTGGCAGAGACTGCATAACGCACAAGAAGTATTTTTTTATTATGTAATTACAGGCTAAACATGACTAGACCAATACATTTGTCTGGCTGTTCCCTTGGCTTCATTTCTTTGCCTTGTTTCCCAAGGTCATTCCCACATACCATTACAGCTGCTGTGCAAGCCAGAAAAAGCTGTCAACCAAACCAAATGACTTTTTTGAGTTGGGATATGAAGTGCAACTTGCCTTTATAATATACAAGGTGACATGGGAATCAGAGAGAAACCGTGCACTGGTAGATAGGAAGCAAGTAGAAAAGGGTAGTGGTGGAAACAGAAATGGAAGTAGCAAATGGAAATATGAAAAGTGAAGGAAAGTACAATACAGCTGGTCCTTGTTTATTGACTGCTCATTCAGCAACCATTTGAGGTTACTGTTGTGCTGAAAAAGGAGATTTATGACTGATTCTCAAACTTGAAAGTATCACATCACCCTGTGATTACCATTTATGATCTTCACCCCTGGTTTCTGACAGACAAAGTCAGTGGGGAAGTTGGTTAGAAGTCATAAATTATGGTTGGGAGATGTCATGCTTAATGACCACAGGTGATTTGCTGAATAATCACAGTTGCAACTGACATGGTAAGTCAGCTAAAGCCACATGATGCTTCGTTATACAGCTGCCTTGCTTAGTTATGGAGTTGCCATCACATTTGGTTAGCTAGAGAGTGTGGGAAGGGGCACTGTAGATCATTCACAACCTTCTTGAAGGATGCATATGGCCTACAAACTGCACATTTTGCTCTTAGCGTAATGGTTACACCAAGTAGCTCGACTGATTGTTATATTATTTCCAATTCAAATCAATAATCAAGCTTGGCTTATAAACCAGATAATATTCAATGTGAGTCCAAAAATTGAAGCCGTGGTGGCTTGTAGATGCTAGATTTTGGCTTCTTGTTTTTTTTTAATAAATAAAAGTAAACACAGATTGAGATCCTGAGATAATGTACATAAAATCTGGTTACATTTTGGGTCATTTAAAAAATTAATAAATTATTTTTTTTAAAAAAAATCTGTTTTTGGAACGATTGTGAATTGTGTGATGCAAGTATGTGCCTAAAAAGATTGCTAACCCCTATTATAGCCTCTTACCTCCATATTCCACTTGTTTCAAACATTATCCCACTTTCCACGCTTGTTTGTTGAGGATGTAATTTTGTGAAGTCATGTATTCCTTGAATTGTGGGTGGTGATAAAACTCATGGGATAAAGAAAATACATATATAATCAAGAACCCCATTTTTACTCCTCTAATTTGGGTCTGATTAAATCAATAAACTTGATTTAAATATATGAATACTGTATTGGAGGTATCTGGAGGAGAACGGCAATCTAAAATTTAGAGTAAATTTAAATTTCATACTGAATGTTGTCAATTTTTTAATCTGGGCTTGTAGAAAAGGAGAACGTGTAGTCAGTGTGCAAAACTGATGTATGCCTGAATTCCCTTGTAATTCTTGTCTTCTTTTTTGGTACTTCCAATTATTTCAGGTAACAGTAGAATCCTCAGAAGAACCTTTGTTTCCTCCAGATGAATTGTATGGCATAGTTGGAGGACAACTTAAAAGAAATTTTGATGTCAAAGAGGTAAACCTCTCTAAAAATGATTTTAAAAGATTGTGCCTAGGCAAATCCTTGCGCACACATAAGGTTGCATACAGGCAGTGGTGTTTTATCTGGTTTGGGCGAACCGGTAGTAGTGGCAGCGGGAGGCTCCACCCACCCATCTGGACGACATAATGTCCCGTTTTTGATGCTCTGCGCATGTGTGCAAGGTCCTACGCATGCACGGAGGTGGAGAGTGTGCTCACATTTGTGAACTGGTAGCAAAGGTAAGATGATTTCACCCCAGCATATCCATGAGACTGCTTAATGTTCTTGATATGGCAAGCTAATCTCAAGAAAATCATATGAATTATGGAAGTTTGCTTTATTCTTTTTTTGATCATTTTGAGAACGTGAGAGCCCAAGATAACATAACATGGTATAAAACTGTTTATTTTAAGTATAGTTTATGAAACAAAGCCAGATTCACACTTGCAAATTAATCATGCCTTTTGGCAGTTCTTATATTTTACTTCTTTTTAAGTGGTTCTTTTGTCTTAAACATTCATGTCTTGATCTGAAAAGATGTGGGTGAAGAGGATACAGTGGCTCAGTGACTAAGGCGCTCAGCTTGTTGATCAGAAAGGTTGGCAGTTCAGCGGTTCGAATCCCTAGCGCTGCATAACGGAGTGAGTTTCCGTTACTGGTTCCAGCTTCTGCCAACCTAGCAGCTCGAAAGCATGTAAAAATGCAAGTAGAAAAATAGGGACCACCTTTGGTGGGAAAGTAACAGCGTTCTATGCGCCTTTGCCGTTTAGTCATGCCGGCCACATGACCACAGAGACGTTTTTGGACAGCACTGGCTCTTTGGCTTTGAAACGGAGATGAGTACCGCCCCCCAGAGTTGGGAACGAGTATGAGGGAATCCTTTAACCTTATCTGTGGGTGAAGTATAAAATCAAACAAGCAATTAGCTAGGAAACAAACATCCACCCTGCTTTATATATCACTTAAACTATCATCAGTAAGCCAAGAAACCTTACTTTCAAACTGTGTTCACTGAACCAAAAACAATCCATTAAAATTATGGATTTTAGATTAGTGTAAAAGGGAATTGTATTTATGACTGTGTCAGTAGCTAGGTGCTACATCTGACTTTTCTCATTATTGTATTTCTAGCTCAGTTTTTGAATTTAGGAATAACGATGAATAGGATTGAGGACAGAAGTACTGCCATATGTATTCCATCTATCTTTAACAGGCCTCTTCTGCTCCTGCTCTTTTTCAAGAGGCCAAGTTCACAACTCTTTACTACCATTTCTTGTCAAATCTGTTGACACAGTTAATCAAGTCTTGAAGTGGCAGGTAATATGATTAGATACACATTTCAGCTTCAATTTTCCAAAGGCCAAATTAAACAAACCACTGCTTATGGTCACAGAGCAATCTTGACAGAGTGGTCCAAGGTCTTTAGGTGCGCAAACCTAATACTTAGTCATTGATTGTAATTGTAGGCTAGGAATATTGCTATATCTGGGGATAGTAGCAGCTCCAGAATATTAATGTAGTCTTTGCTTGCTTCCAAGGACATAGGTTTTGAGTAATGCTTTTAGGTTACAATGAGTTTTAATTTAATGGATATATGCTATAGTTTATTAGAACAATCAAGAATATCTTTCTCAAAATGATGAGAAGTAAATAAGCTGGCAGATCAACAGCAATAATTGTTTTACTGCAGTCATAATTTTTAGCAAACTCTTTAGCATTCTAGTTCTTTTGAAGCAATTAAATTTTAATGAAAAATAAAATGTTGGATTCATTTTTTTAAAAACATTCCTAAGAAACTAGGCTACCATTACTGTTTCTGTAATATTTTAATTTCCTACTACAAGCTTTTTCAGTTTCACAAGAGACAAATCACCTGAATTTTTACAACCATGTTTCATTACAAACGTATATAAATTTAATTCATATAATTTCTGTGTATATATATATATATCTTTGCAGTTGAAATTGAAATGTGAAAACTATTCTAAGCCAGCAATGTCAAGCATAGGACAGATAAAAAGACAAGGACACTATATGTGCAATAATACAGCAGTTATATCAAAATATTGCAACCAATTTCACTAATTGTATAAATAATATACCAAGATTGAGTCCTTAGTTATCTCATATTGGGCTTTATGTATTGTGCACAATGCCTATGTGGTGTATTTCACCTTTTTTATCAGTAAAAATAAGTTATATTTAACTCATGCATTCCTTAATCATAAATTCATAAATGATGAAAAATTCATTAATCATAATCTCGGGGTGGGTGGGGTGGGTCAGGGGTGGGTTCCTGCCTGCTTTACTGCTGGTTTGCTCATGTGCTATCCGCTCCGAATGCAGGTTGCACGCGCATGCACAGTTCAATTAAAATTGTTCTGCGTATGTGCAGAACTTAAAAACAAGATGGCGCCACTGACTGGAAAACCAGTTCAGGGGCATGGCAGGCCTGGGTCGCTGCCAGTTCCAGTGACCCACGCCACCATACCACTACTGGTTCAGCTGAACCAGTAGGAACCTACCTCTGGTTTGGGTCTGCCTATCGAGATGAGGTGGACCGGTTGCTTTCATGGTGTGGAGAAAATAACTTGGTCCTTAACACCAATAAGACCAAGGAGCTTATAGTAGGTTATAGAAGACATCTAGCCCTTGCTTATCAATGGAGACCGAGTGGAACAAGTGGCCAGTTTTAAGTTTCTGGGTCTTATCATAAAAGAGGACCTGACCTGGGGCGCTCACATTGCAGCACTGGTCAAAAGAGCCCAGCAGAGATTATACTACCCGAGACTTCTCAGGAAACAACAACTGAATAAAAAACTGCTGGTGACCTTCTACCACTGCACCATAGAGAGTATTTTAACTTACTGCACCTGTGTATGGTTTGCCAATTGCACAGTGGCAGATAGAACAGCACTCCAGAGGGTTAACATCATTGCCCAGAGGATCATTAGTTGTCCTCTCCCTCCTTTGGAAAAACTTCATAGCTCCTACCGCCTTAAGAAAGTTCAAAACATTCTTAAAGATCTATCTCATCCTGGACACCATTTTTTTGAATTATTACCATCTGGCAGAAGGTACAGGATAATAAAAACAAGTAAAAATAGGCTGAAAAACAGCTTCTACCCCAGATCAGTAACTATATTGAATTCTACTGTATAGTCAGTGCAATATTAATGCAATATGCAATATGCCAATGTTAGAATTACAACTGATCCCATCTTGATTTGTTAGCCTGACTTGGGAATCACACGATTCAAAGCAAGATCACTTATTTGCATAGTACATTAAACAGATTATAAATAGAGGATTCTGTAATTTTCTAGCTGCAAACTCTTGGGAGAGAACCTGGCCCTATAATCTGAGCCATATGCAATAATATACTCTTGCTAACACCATTGTTTTATAATTGATGAGTTCATCTGAAAATAAAAATTGAGATTTCTTACAAACTGTTGTAAGATAATTGCATTTTTCTTAATTTTATAATGACACAGAAATACAATATTTGTGATATGTAATTATGAGCCAATATGTACTTTGGAAAGGAGCTTGTTTCCATTATTAACCTCATCATCCAGCCCATTTTACTTGAGCTAATTGGACTGGACATACACTATATATATACTGTTTGGAAATGGATACAGTTTAAGAAGTTATGAAAAACATCTCACTTTGCATATTAGGTTGATATTTATTACAACAACATAAGTTGCTAATAATAAATGTAACTCGCTTTTCTTTTTATTTAAGGTCATTGCTAGAATTGTTGATGGAAGCAAATTTGATGAATTTAAGGCCTTATATGGGGATACATTAGTCACAGGTATTATTTTTAAATTAAAAAATGAAACTATTCTACAACATCATGCTTTGATTGAATTTATCTTTTCAATTTAAAAAAATTGTATGCGATTCTATAGAAAATATATTAATTTATTAATTAATGTAGGGATAGATTTACCACTTCAATGTAAGAATTCTAGGCAATATTTTCTCTCTAAGTAATAACAAATTAGAGCAGATTACATATTTAACTAACATTTAATGTTATTTAAATATTAGTTAAATATGTAATTTATCATGGTACATTTTAATAATAAATGGTTTGGTGCCAGGAATTTCACACTGATCAATCCTCAAAAGCTTTTGGGAACAATCAAATTTTTACAAATTTTCTGAGAGGGAAGCCCCCATCATAACTGCTTCCTTTGAATCTTGGGATATAACCTCCAGCAGACTCCAGAATTATCCAATTTGGATGAAAAGGTAGTGTCTCAGTATTCATTGAGGCCCAAAGCTTGATAGATAGCAAGCAAAGACTTGAATTGCTTTTGGAAACATACTGTGAGCAGTGGTGGGATACAATTTTTTTTAGTACCGGTTCTGTGGGCATGGCTTAGTGGGTGTGGCCAGATTGTCATGTGACTGGGTGGGCGTGGCCAATTAAGCAGTCCACTTTGCCAATTTAGCTGTCCATTAAACAATATATAGCAGCTCCCTTTTCTTCTTTTTAATACTGCATGAAGTTTTTGCTCGAGGTTTTTTTTTTTTTTTTTTTTTTACTAAGGCGGAGAGGTTGGCAATGCCTGTGGATTTCTGGGAATTTCTCCTCTGGTGTTAGAAGCACCAAAATAACCAAGATGATATAAGGTCTCCTGCTGGAGCAGGGGGTTGAACTAGATGACCTCTAGTCCCTTCCAGCCCTGGATTGCTGTGCTGTTTCAAAGTATCCTCTGAAGCTGTGTCTAGTGCCAGGATTTTGTGGTCCTTCCTCTCCTTTTTCTTCTCAGAGGCAAAACAGGGTGCACCTCCCCGCCCACCATTTTGGGCTTAACAAGCATCCCTGAAGTCTCCTGGGAGCCAAAAGGGTGGGGTGGGGGGATGGCACCATACACTCCGCCCTCCCATTTTGGGCTTAGCAAGCTTCCTGAAGCCTCCGGGGAGCCAAAATGGGACGCATGGGGACTCCTGGAAGGGATGGGCCCAGTCAGAGGTGGTGTTTGGCAGTTCTCGAGATCGGTTAAAATTTCCGCTACTGGTTCACCCGAACCGGTCAGAACCGGCTGAATACCACCGCTAAATGTAACTCTCAAAGAGATATAATGTACTGATATTGGCTGTAAAATACACAGGCCACTGCATTTTCAACCAATTTCTGGTTTATCATCAAGGGTAACTGTAAAGCGCTCCAGTGTTCCATTTGCAAGATGACCAGGCATGAGTTAACTGACCTCATGCATCCTGTTTGGTGTAATGATACAACTGAAGCTGGGCAGGGCCCTTCTGGCAACAGCTGTCACCTAGTTTTCTAGGAAATGCTGTGATTTCAGAAGGCCTTTGAGGCTCCAGGTCTCCTCTCTTCAGAGGAAGCACAACTCAGTTGAGAGTAAAATCAACAGGCTTCTGAAGCAACACCAATATCCTCCTATAGTAAATTTGCTAGTTCTTAAATTGCCACATTTTTAGTTTGTTGCAGCAAAAGCAATTGCTATGGCTATTGCTATGATAAATATTACAGCTGCAAAACAGTTTGTTTTACTTTTGTGTTCCTTTTTTCATTGAGGTCTGGGAACTCTTAAGTTTAAAGCTTTTTCTAGGCAGTTGATAAGATTCTCATGATTTTTTCTTTCTTTCTTCTTTCAGGATTTGCTCGGTTATTTGGCTACCCAGTTGGAATAATTGGAAACAACGGTGTTCTTTTTTCAGAATCAGCAAAGAAGGCAAGTGTGAACATCTGCTATTGAAGCTTCTCCCTATTTTTGTAGCTGAGAATCAAAATGCACACCAGAGACTACAAATCATAGTGGCTGATTTATATTAAATAAGAGCACCTATGTAGGCTTTTCTCCAGGAATCTGCACCAACTTCAGGGTGACTGAGTCTATTGCTAGGAGTGGGACTTTCTGAGATCTTGCAGCTAGCTCTAGAAATAACTGTATTGAAAACATGTGCAAAAAATGTGCAAAGTATATCTCTACACTTTTAACACTTAATTGATCCAAAAGTTGTGAATATTATAATGCTGCTCTTTTGTCTATGGATTATCCCGCTGCCAGTTTATTATTGTGTTGTAATTTAGCTTGTGATTCATTAGGCTAGAACTACAGGTAATCCACACTTATCAACCACTTGTTCAGCATCAGTCAAAATTACCCACTGAAAAATAATCTTACAGCCAATTAAAAACCATTTGTGATTTTTGCAGAGTTCCTCAGTCACATGATAGCTATTATAGTCAGTATGCATTGTTCTATGCCTTACACGTTTTTTTTTCTCCCCCCTCCCTTTGTAGAGCAGAGAGATTGAAGAGAAATTTCAAGAGAGTAAGTTGTTTGCTCTTCTATGCATTCAAAACAATGCAATCATGCTGGGAGCCCAGGGCTGGGAGCCACAGGCATGCAAATAGTTTACAGTACTCTTTTGAAATCTCTTTCTCTCCATTCTTTCTGTTCTGCAAGAAAAAATGAAGGAAGACAAAAAAAAAGCGTCTTACCCTTTTCCACTACTAGTGCAATCACTTTTATGTGTAGAAGAACAAACTGCTTTCTCTCTTGAAATCTTTCTCTTCACACTGCAGAGGGTGATGGGGAGACAAAGGCAAACAACTTTTGTAGGCAAGTTTTCCTTTGCCTGACACTGTTATTGGTTACCGTGGTTTTCTGGAGTGCTTTAGCCCAGAGCAGAGAGGTTTGGAATTTGACTTGAAGAGGACTTTGGGTGGATGGTACAAAGCTGGGATGTGCTTTTGGAATTGGAACCTGACCTATGTTGTCCACTGGGCCCCCTTTGGTGCTGTTCTCTGAACATTAACTCCCTCTTTCAGACACAGAGATTGACACTTTGATTATCCAACCATTTACTCCATCCCTCTGTTCAGTGGAAGGAGGGCAGAGTTTTGACAGTGCATGCTAGATTACTTTTACAGCTTCTCTCTCTGTCTCTGTCTCTGTCTCTGTCTCTGTCTCTGTCTGTCTGTCTGTCTCTGTCCTTGTCTCTCTCTCTGTCCTTGTCTCTCTCTCTGTCTCTCTCTCTGTCTCTGTCTCTCTCTCTGTCTCTCTGTCTCTCTGTCTCTCTCTCTCTCTCTCACACACACACACACTTGCTGAATGCCAGGGATAGTTGTGCGGGAAATATACTTCTGGAAGAGCTGTGTTTGTGATGTTTAGGGAAGTGATTGTGGTATATCTGATAAGTAGATTATTGGAGGTATCTAGGGTTTGTGAGTGAATGAATGGATGCTTTGGCCTAAGAGAAAGGCATGTGAGGTGAGAGGTCTTGATGGGAGTGGAGATTGATGGCAGAAATGCAGGAACTATGGTGGACAAAGAAGATATTGGCAGATCCTGGGAGCAGACTGGAATCTGCCCTCAAAGGCCAGGTTATCAGATATTAGTGTTGAATGACAAGGTGTTCTGCATTAAATCTTGCTGTCTTGGCAGTCGAAAACGGAGCTCAGGAGCCTATTTTCACTGGCAGAGTGATTGGGCCACCACAGGCCTGCCTGACAGGAGTGACATTGAGCTGGCCACGCCCACCCAGCACCCTGAGATCAAACACAACCCTGATGTGGCCCTCAATGAAATTGAGTTTGACACCCTTGCCCTAGACCAAACATGTCATGCCATTGAAGCCTTAGCCATGTGTCTGGAGGCTGTGCACAACAGACTCAGTCCTGTTCAAATTCAAGTGGTTATTGTTGTTGGTCTTTCTAGTTGGGTGATATTTCAGTTTTGATCTTTGATAGGGTTGCACTTTCCCATAGAATTCTGATGATGAGCATTTGTTTAGATTTATATCTGCTGTTAATATATAGTGAAGTTCAAAAAGATGAAGATGTTTTCATTTTTTTAGAGATAGGATGTAGCCTAATAATTTACTAATTAATCTCTTTCTCTTTGTCATATTGTCTTTCTATCCAATCCAATTTGCAATATATGGGATTCATTGTGGGGCTTAATTTTGAGAACTGTAATGTAGATGATGTAAATTGTATGCTTTGAACTTCTACAGATGCTGAGCAGTTGTAGGTTGTTATTAAGATTTTCCCAAGATACCTGCTGCAGTACTTTTTTGTACTTTTTATAACAATGTTACTATTTCTAGGATTAAGTACAGTAGCAAACTGTTACCTCAGTTACTATCACCTGCTATTTTATCACATCATCATGTGCTAAAACCTACAATCTATTTTAGCAGTTATTAGGGAATGAATAATTGCTTCAAGGATCAACTTTATAAGAAAGTAAGTCAATGTTACATAGAAAATGTTTTGTTTTAAATATGACTTCATCATTTGAAGGATAAAGCCATTTACACTTGAGAAAAGGGACAACAAACAAATTCAAATTCAAGATCCTGGCACATTTCAAAAATGCAATTTCTGTGCTTGCTTCGGCAGCACATATACTAAAATTGGAGCAGTGTTGGGTTCCTACTGGTTCCATCCGGTTTGGCCGAACCGGTAATGGTATGGCAGCCTGAGTCACTGGAACCGGCAGCGACCCAGGCCTGACATGCCCCCAAACTGGTTTCCCGATCGCCACTGTCGCCATCTTGTTTTTGAGTTCTGTGCATGCGCAGAATGATTTTAATTGGACTGCACATGCGCGCGCACAAGCGAACTAGTAGTAAAGCCGGCCAGAACCCACCCCTGAATTGGAATGATACAAAAATGAAATTTCTTTTTCCCATTAAAAAAAAAAAAACATTATGGTTTTAGAAGTACTGCTTTAGGATCATACAATGGCTTTAGCAGCAGATAGTATCATATTACTGAACAATTATTTTTCAGTAGGCCAACTATCAATTTTTTCTTATCTTTACAGGGCACACATTTTATTCAGCTTTGTTGTCAGAGAAATATTCCCATTATATTTTTACAAAACATCACAGGTAACAAGTGATTATCATAATCTATGGGACTGAACTACAAGACAGTAAATATTTGAGCAAATAATTATACCTTTTCTTTCAAATAAGTGTACAATAGTAATAAATTAATTCCTGCTCGTCATTTCTAACAACTTTATTTATGAGTTTGGGGAATATTGGGGAATATTGTCAGATTGAATCACAGTTGCTGTATTTAGTTATTATGCATTTATAAAGTAGTTTTGAAACGAAGTTTGATTAAATTTCTGTCTAGTTGCCTACAATTTACAATATTACATTTAGCAATAATAAAGTAATTCCCTGAACTAATAATTAAATAATTATGAAACAGGTTGTCGTACCTAAGATGCAAGTATAGTAATCAGGAGACTGAGTTCTGGTTCCACCTTAGGCATGAAGCCAGCTGTTGATTTTAAGCCAGCCATCCTCTCTCAGCCCAACCCAGCTCACTGTGGTTGTGGGGGAAATAGGAGGAGGAAGGAATGTTATGTATGTTTAATTTCTGGAGTTACTTATACGGTAATAAAAGCAGGATAAAAGTTTAGCAAAAAAATAATATCAGCTAAAAGCCTACAAAGCATCAAAAATGTTAGTTGAATCAATTAAAGTAGTAAATGAAGTTTTACAGTCTCACTTGCTTTGTTTTTCTAATGGCAAAACAAGCTATTTGCAAATAGCCTTGATAATGGTCTTAACTCTTTTTCCAATTAGGCTTCATGGTTGGTAAGGATTATGAAGCTGGTGGTATAGCAAAAGATGGAGCCAAGATGGTTACTGCTGTAGCATGTGCCAATGTGCCTAAAATAACAGTCATTATTGGAGGGTCCTATGGTGCTGGAAATTATGGGATGTGTGGAAGAGCATATAGGTAAGTATGCACTTCAGCCATAGTATTATAGATGTTGGGAATGTGTCTATAATATGTGAAAATATTGTTTTTAATCTAGAAGAGAGTATTGTTATGTTGTATGATTTAAAATACCTATGTGAATGAATTATTTAATTCAAGGATGCCACTGGACTGCATATGGCTACTTATGCATATAATTTGTCTGAAGTGGTATATTTGTCTGAAGTGTTGTAGTGTCTCCCTCCTAAGCAGGGGTTGGACTAGAAAACCTCCAAGGTCCCTTCCAACTCTGTTATTCTAGTTTAAATGCTGTAGATTTTACTGAATAAATCCCTTAGTAGTTCCGTTCCCGGACAGTGAAGGGTTTAGGAAGTGTTTAGTGTTCACATTATGCAGATAACATTCCTTCCTTCTCTGCCCCCTCAGTCATAAAAAGTGAAGGAACGAATTTGTAAACAGCTAAAGAGATTTTTATTCCATCCTTTGTATTTTTCAGTCCAAGATTTCTTTTTATGTGGCCGAATGCTCGGATCTCGGTGATGGGAGGAGAACAAGCTGCAACTGTTTTAGCTACAGTAGCCAAGGACCGAAAAGCAAGGGAAGGGAAGCAGGTAATGTCTGCTACTTTTGATATTTTGAAATACATTAGGAGGAAATGGTCAAAATACCATCACTTCCCTCTATTTTCTTGCAATATAGTTACTTTTTCTGATTGTATTCATTCAGTGTCATCTCACTGTATGAAATGGGATTCATACTATAGCTTACAATAATACTTCACCTATCACTTGTATTTACAGAGCTTACATATTAGCACATACAATAGTAAAATTAGGAATACAAAGGAGTCTAAACTATTCCATTAGTGACCGGCTGTCAAATTGGTGTACTTGTGTTTTATAAGCCTAACACTATAAGCAAACTATAATGTTACACTCATGGGGAATCTAACTAAAGAGAAATTTTTATAACCAAGAGGAGCAAGAAAAAGAGTTTTTCAGAACATTGCATTCTAAAAAATCGTTATCATTTACATTGTTTAAGAAACTATTTTCATAAACTCTGATACTGATTTCTGTAAGAAAAATGCCACTAACATTAGTGCAGCTTGGAGCACATTTAATAGGAAATTCCCACTCAACTAAACAGAAATCCAAACGTACCCAGCATTACTGATTAGACATTTAATGCATATTATCTCTTAGGACAGGATGTCCAGTGCTCTTGCAGATGAAAATTGCCAGAGTTTCTATTCCTGTTAATTATCTTTTGTAGTTTTCTGAAGAGGAAGAAAAAGCTCTGAAAGAGCCAATAATTCAGAGGTTTGAAGAAGAAGGAAGCCCTTATTATTCTAGTGCACGGTACGTACAGATGAAGGTGACAGCTTGTCTTTATATGTGTAACAGTTTAAAGATAATTTTTAAGACTGGCTGGAAAAGGAAGCCAGACAGCCAGCTGGCTAGTCTAAGCCTTCTGAATGTTGGAAAAGCTGGAGAGACGATATTTATCCTATCCATTAGTGAAACTTTGGTTAAGATTGTTCTTGTAACTAAACATAATGGAAGTGGGAAAAATCTTGGGAGACGTGAGAAAGAGGTACTGCCAAGGTAACAGTCAGATAAGAGATAGCATGACAGGGCAAGAAGCTTAGAAGAGACCCTCCCTAGTTTCTTGGGTGGGTAAGGAGTAGGGGGAAACGTGCTTTCAGTGTTGGAAGATTCTGTCAATATAGCATTACAATAAAGAATAATTAGTTTGATCTGCTTGCTCAGCAGGGTCAGGCTGTTGCTAGGAGTTTATGGCCTAGCAGTTGCAGGTCCTGGCTATGGTGAAAATCAGTGGTGGGATTCAATTTTTTTTACTACCGGTTCTGTGAGCGTGCCTTGGTGGGCATGGCATGGCTTGGTGGCGTGGCAGGGGAAGGTTACTGCAAAATCTCTATCCCGCCCCACTCCAGGGGAAGGATACTGCAAAATTCCCATTTCCTCCCCAGTCCAGGGAAAGGTTACTGCAAAATCCCCATTTCCTCCCGATCAGCTGGCACTTGGGAGACAGAGAATAGATGGTGGGTAGGGCCAGTCAGAGGTGTTATTTTCTGGTTCTCCAAACTCCTCTGGTTCTCCAAAATTTCCCCTACCGGTTCTCCAGAACTGGTCAGAACCTGATGAATATCACCTCTGGTGAAAATGCTCTGAATCGGAGAGCATAGGGCTTTCTAAGCATGTTCCTTTATCAACTGTTACATGCCCATGCTCATTGGTTTTTATATCTGTCTGTTTCTTTCTCTAAAGATAATATCTCTCCAAATTGTGCTAGGGGTACATGGAGTGTTGTTAATAGGAGTATACTAAGTATTTGTTCTGTATGCTTTCTGAATGTGACTTTCCTTTCACACATATGAATACCTCTGTCACCCCTGTTGCTCATGTTAAGTAACAGTGAATTCTGTGCTTTAATTCCTTTTCTGTAAACTTGTTCTGTTGCTCACTCTATTAGTGGATCTAAAGAATAAGGATTCTACTAACATGGGCAAAAAGGAACGCTCCCAAGTGAATCACGGGAGAGTTATTTATTTTTTAATACTGAAGTGCCATGTACGTGCATGCAGTGTTTAGGTATTTTAGTTCTCATTATTAACTATTTATAAAGCAAGTTTCATATGGGAAATAGGTTGTAATGTTGTATACAGTTACAAATAATCCATTTTCCCATTTTAAAGATGAGACATTGAAGCTAAAGAATAGTCATTCTCCTCTGTACCTATCAGAGAAAGTATTAAAAATGATCTTTGGGAATTGAATAACCTCTCGCATTTGTTTTCCATGATTTTCTAGAAAGACGTGTGCTTGATATATTTCATAAGGCAACTAATATTTCTCTTAAAACAAGTAAAATAAAATGTATATTTATGGTATAATTTAAAACACTTTTACTAACAGCAGTAAACCATATATATTTTAAGAACTTCAAAAAGTTATTTGAAATTTTTCACATAACAATCAAGCTTCCTTACTAAAGCAAAATGACATGTTTTATCAATGCTGATAGATTTCCACGGGCAACTATGGCTAGCTAATATGAGTGTCAATTTAAATGCAATACTCACATGATTACTTTTTGTGTGTGAATCAGGATTGACAACTGCCAATTGCCTGGCCTAATAGTCTTGGCAAAATTTTGGACAGAGAAGAAAAAAATCAAATTCATAAATGATACAGCTGCATAAAAGTCTTATAAATCCAAAGGATCATCATGAATTGATGTCAACAAGAAGCTAATTTATATTCAGTCCGACTCATCTTCAACAAAAAAGTAGAACAGGCTCAGACCTAACATTAAATCAGTATGAAACCATGGATTATGAAGCATAGTTATATTAGGAGGATATATCCTGCTAATCTGGCTAACATGTTATGGCGCTAGAAACTGGAAGACCATAAATTCTAGTCCCACCTTAGGCCTGAAGCCAGTCAAGTGACTGTTTCCAGCCAGTCACTCTTTCTCAGCTCTAGGAAGAAGCCAATGGCAAACCACTTCCAAAAATCTTGTAAAAGACTTGTCCCATGTTATTATCAGGAGTCAAGAATGATTAATGATAATACTCCCACAAAATACAAGATTGAAATAAATCCTTCTACAAGTATTTTTATATGTATTTACAATGTGCCTGAACTTTTATAATTTAGATCAGGGTGAAATCCTCCCGGTTTGGCCTGGTTTGGATGAACCAGCGGGGACAGTTGGCATCAGTTCTCCGAAAATCCCTGGTGGTCCCGCTCTTGCTTGCCTGGTCACCCTGTCGCTACTCACCTCTTCCGGTCGCTTGACCCACCCACCCAATCTGAATGTTTCTCCCTCTGTTCACAGCAGAGCTGCTGCAGCCTGTCCGTTTAAGATAGTCCCTGGGAGGGAGGAGCTGGGGGAGGGACACCATAAAGGGAGCAGCAGCTCTGCTGTGGAGGGAAAAACGTTCGGCTTGTCTCTGCCACAGAATTCAATCTAAAAATGCAGCAGAGACAATCCAAAATTTTCTCCCTCCATTCACAGCAGAGCTGCTGCAGCCTGTCCCTTTAAGGTACTTTGACCCCTGGGAGGGAGGGGGCCAGGGGGAACCATAAAGGGAGCAGCAGCTCTGCTGTGAATGGATTCATATACACATTTTTCTTACTGGTTTCTGTGGGTGTGGCTTGGTGGTGGGGCATGTGACTGTGTGGGCGTGGCCATGAGTGACATCGAGTTGGTCATGCCCACTCAGTCACAGGACCCCACCATTGAGCCACACCCACAGAGCCGGTAGTATAAAATTTTGAATTTCACCACTGATTTAGATATACCTTTTTTAGCAATAGAAATTTTTATGCTTTTCATTTTGAAAAAAAAAATCCACATAAATTATATTTCATTTTATATATATGACATTTGCTCTGTTCCTGCATTTCCTCATCAAATGTGTCAGGCTAGAAACTTTCATATGCAGAGGTCTTAATTATCTGGTGTCATTAGTCAGACTTTTTTTTAATGAGCTAGATTAATCTGCTTAGAGAATTCTAAAAGGAGTTCAATCAGTTTACCTTGTAACAAATGTCATGAGCCACTTTCTCCTGAGTTTTTGCTGCTTTTCTTTGCAGAAGTTGTGTTATGAATTTTTTACAAGGAGACGTATGATTCATATTCTCACCATAGAACTTGATAGGTTGTTCAATAATTAATGCTGTGTCCCACTACTGAAGACGAGCTTTTACTAAACAAAGAGAAAGCTAAAATGACTTGGAGAAAGCAATCTTTATTTTACAATGAAAAATCTTTCAAGTGATCAATAAAATCTCCACTTCCCTTAATGAAATTGTCTTTTGCGGCTTTAAAGGTTGGAAATTTTTTCCCCCTCAGCATGATACAGTATTTACAGTATATTTATATTCCATCTTTCCATACAAGCAGGCCTGTCAGGGTAGTTAAATAATACAGTAAAAGCAGCAGCAACAGTAAATTAAAATCGATGCAGTTTAGAATAATTGAAATGCATATACAGCCATGAAAATTGAAATCATTCTTACAATAGTTTAAAAGGCCCTGGTTGAAAAGCTTTATCAATATGAGTTTAAAGGAGGAAAGGGGAGAAAAATGTAATTTTCAAAATAATGTGTTCTCTAGTTGGCTGACAGAAGGAAGACCTTCTCTACCTGGTTAATTTACCTCTGAAAGTACGGCCATCATTAAAGTATCCTATTTTGCTGATCTTAGTAGAGATTTGTACTGGGATAATGATGCATTTAATAAAACATTTCCAGTTTTCATTTAAGTTTCCAATCTTGGTTTATCCTATAGAAAAAAATGTTGCTAGGCTGGATTTTGATTGGAAAAGATTTCAGGTCTTGTCAATACTCACAGTTGAAATAATATGAACCCACCTGTTCTGTCCCAAGCCTCTAATTTATACTGATGCCGGCTTGGCTGTCTGCCACGACTAAGGAGGGAGATAAGTAACCCCTTGGCTAGGAGCTCAGAAAATTATCTCCAGGAAAACAAGGCCTGAAGTCACGGAATTCTGCAAACTTTCGCTACACCTGGATTAGCAAACTGTTGTTTCCTGCAAAATTTCCCTCCTGTCGTCTCACCTATAAGCTCTCTGAAAGGGGCCAATCAGTAGCCACCTGTTTCCTATTTCCTTCTATGAGCCTTTTTCCAAAGCTGCTCCCTCCTCTTCTCAGCCATACGCATACGCACATCAGGGACAGCCTCCCTCTGTTCCTCTTCACTGCTCCCTGACTCAGATGCCATCTGGTGGCCAAGAGGCCTCTCTAGTGTCTGCTGTGACTCTGAACATCCCCCAGAGTCTTCCTCAGCCTCCAGGGCAGTCCCATAGTGTTCATCGCTGTCAGAGTACACCAACAGCTCAGCTGGTCGCTGTTGGGCCACAACACCCCTGACATTAATGTTATCCTGTTTTCTGCCCAATCCAGGCAAAACCAAACAATGATGAGCATCTCCAAACTTAAAACTATCTTCAAACTATTCCTTTCCAGACAATGATATCACTTGCTCATCCAATCACACAAAAAATGCCATGCTCTCAAGCTATTTATTTGATTTTTTACAGGTTATTTTTTAATGCAGTCAAAGGTTGTACATTCCAATAATTATCAGCAGCCTTTGGCTTTAAAGTACTATTTGTTTGACATTGTACTAAATCTCAAACAATGTACTCATAAAGAAACATTCACCCCTTTTCACCTAGCTTCAATTTAACTACATTTATTCCAATTGAAGTAGCCCATCTATCTGAAAACACAGGCAGTGAATCTTCAGGGTTTTTTTCCTGTAACATATGAATCAGTTATTAACTGTGATGTGTTTCCAGTAT